TGCTTAATGGTAGCTGTTACTAGTGCTAAGTTCACATTCTTTTGATATACATCCCTGTCTAATCTTTTTCTTGAAAAAAGCTTTCATTGTCTTCCCAGAGTGCTTTCCTCAACACTTTTTGTATTGCAATTTTTTAGAAAGCACTATATCTCGGATTTCAAATGAGAGATGAATTGAATGACCTCTACCACAAATCTGGACAAAATTATGTTGGGTTTTGTACTTGTCATATCATTGGTTATAATTCTGGAATTTGGCATGAATACTAAGTATTTGCCCTTCCTTTGATTTAGAGACAGTCCCTCTCCACGTCCCCCACCTCTGGGCCTTGACTTTGCACCCTATTTGTGCAACCAGTTTGAATCTCAGTTTCTGTCTGGGAAGGGCTCAGGACACAGCTAGACCCATCTAGGAACTATCATTCTACTCTTGAACAGTGCTGTGTGTTCCAATATTCCAGAGATTGGGAGAGAAAGAGATTTCTGGGTGGCTGGGCAGTCCCCTGTAATTTTAGACCCATATTCAGGGGTCTCCAGATTCCTCTCAGAATCTGAAACAGCATATTTTGAATGGTTTGGTTGTATGCTCCATGAGGGCAAAGATTTGGTCCATCTTATTTTCCATGGTGTCTGAACCTTCGTGGAGGATACTATACACTTCATAATTGCTCAGATGGGTAAATAAATGAATTCAGCAAGTATTTTCATTAGTAGGCATTTACTTCCATGCAACTATCTTTGACCTAGAGTTTTCCTCTTGGGATGCTATAGTCCTCTCACTCTTCAAGAAACCAGAATCCTTCATGTTGTTTTTTTCCTTTCCTCCCTCCCTCTCCTCCTTCTCACCCTCCATCTTCCCTTCCCTTCTCTTCTCTTCTCTTTCCTTCCCCTCCCCTTCCCTTCATTTCCCTCCCTTCCCCTCCCCTCCCCTCCCCTCGTCTCTATTTCTTTTTTCTTTCTTTCTTTCTTTCTTTCTTTCTTTCTTTCTTTCTTTCTTTCTTTCTTTTCTTCTCTTTTCTTTTCTTTCTTCTTTCAGACCATTTTCTGAATTTTTAAAAACAGCTATATTGAGACATAATTTACATACTATAAAGTTCACTTATTTAAAGTGTACAGTTCAGTGGCTTTTAATATATTCACAGAGTTGTGCAACTGTCATCACAACCTGATTGGTTCAGGAAGCATAGAACACCAGATGGAGCTTGCTGTGAGAAAGACTCATGTTCAAATCCTTGTTTCTGCTGCTTACAACCTGTGTGATCTTGGGTGAATTTCTTAAATTTTTGGTGACTTTGTTTTTTTCTAGCTGTGAAATGATTGATCCATCAGTCATACAGTTGTTGTAAGAAAAAAAATGACGCATTGTATATGAAGCACCTACACCTAGCCTCAGGGTATGGCACAGAGTAGACACTTGGCAAACTTTCTTTCCCTTCCCTCTGTGACCCCTGTACCCTTCAGCTGCTGGACCAACACAGGATAGTGAGCAGGGACAGAGATGTCTCTGATAGATGATATTCCTGAGCCACCTTCTCCTGCCTCAGAAGCATGTGGGAGGGAGCCTAAGACAATGGTTGTTCAACAGTTTGCCTGTCAAGCCCTGGGGGACTGCCTGCTCTGACCAAGGCATCACCCAAGATGCCCCACTGTCCACCAATCAGCAGTCGCTGCTTATTTTTTCCCCACTGTCTTTGACCTATCTCTCAGAAAACCCTGCACACACCCCACTTGGACTGCAGTAAATCATGGTCTTTTTGTCTTCAGTGGTTTCTTCCATCAGTGTAGCCATTTCTGGAGGGCTCTCAACTCTACATACTTTTCTTCGTCATCATAGAATATTAATATTGGAAGAACCCTAGAGATAAGCTAGTTAAACCCAGTTGAACAAACTGAGGCCCAGAGAAGTGAGCTAACTTGGTTACATAGTTGGCATAGGTCAAGACTAGAATACTGTCAGCATGTCATAAATATCTGTGGAGTGAAGAAATGCCATTTGGTACATTACATCATCTCAGCTGACCTAGGATCCAGGTTGCAATGTGCTGGCTTGAGTTCACATTTTGATCTCACCTCTCTATTCCTCTGCATCTAGAGAACAAGGATAATCCTGTTGTTGGTGGTGTTCACTCCTAAGGAATGAGATCAGAAGCCTTGCAAAGTGTACTGCACTAAGTGGTTATAATATTTATGTAGTCAACATTGTTTGGAGAAAGTGGAAATAACAACTTCCATCCTAATGAGAATCTGCACATTTGGTCTGAATCTTGCAATTCATTTGGGTTTCCCATTTCTGAGTGCAGAGTGCTGACATTTTCCAGGCAGCTCTGGCTTCGGAGGGATCCAGACCCAGGGGATTTGTTCCCTGCAAGTCACCCTGTAGTTAATGGATGGTATAGTTAGTAAAGGGTTCTGTATCAAGCCCCTGAGCATGGTGGGTGGAGGGGGCTGGAAGGGAGAGAGGTAGAAGACAGCAATAAAAGCAAGAGAAAAAATTGGACATAGCAGTAAACCCCCAGGATTCCTTTAAATTAATTTTTAGGTTCACATGTAAAATATCCAGGCCATAATTTTTCAAGCTAGCTATTTAGAAACAGTTATGCCTTCTTTTAGAAGCAGTATACAATGTAAGAGAATTTTCTCTCTCTCTCTCCCCTCATATCTGCTCCCCCCCCCCACCACTCTCTTCCCCTTTGTGAACAGAAGGTTATATCCTTAGTATGCAGGGACTAGGCAGGTTACAAACTCAGATCCCAGGCCAGGGAAAGAGTCAAAACTTTCCACCCAAAGAACTGATGAGCATCCTAATTGAAACTGAATTGAGCCTTTCAGCAGGCCCCTTGTTTCCCTAAATCAATTTGATTTCATGTAAACATGTATTTCTTCTGCACTTTTCCACCTACCACACCATGCATATAACAATGCTTTCGTGAACATTAATGTTTTTGCCAGATACATTTTAGAGAAAAGGTCGGGTAGGTAAGGGAAAGTATCACCCACCGGGATTGCATTCTAAGGAACTCAGTCCAAGCAAAACTTTTCCCAAATCAAGGACTTGGTAAGAAAAAGCACTCACTTTGGTTTTAGGAGGGGAAAAGGTGTAAATCACGCTTGGGGGTGCTGGAGGATAGATGTGGTGTGGGAAGGGGGGCTATTGTTTGGAAGGAGACTCGAGAGAGAAAAAAGCAAGTTTTAAGCATATCCTGAGAGCATCTTCATGAGTTCTGAGTGGCTGTACCCGCCTCTTCCGTGAATGTACAAGGGCAAGAATATTTCCCCTTACAAAAAAAAAAAATGTTTGCATTCTGATCAACCTCTGATTGCTACTGGCGGGCAGACGTTTCACTGTACATTAGGAAGCAAAGGCAGGTTGTGAATTTGAACGCTGCATAAAGCAGTGCAGAGCAAAAGGGAAAAAAAAAAAAAAAAAACCAGTGTGGAGCATTTCTCTGCCCTGTCACTCTGGAGGTAGCTCGGGTAGCTCGGGTGAAGACCCTGATACCTTCATGGCACAGGAAGTCCTGCCTAACCTCCCGGCCCAGCCAAGATGGAAAGAGAGAAGTGAAAAGCAGATGTTATAACATCATGAAAAAAATTTTAGCTGTTATTTCCAAATTCACAATTCACAGCCCACCTTTATTTGTAGATAGGGGTCAGGAGCACTTGGCCAAATATTTTTAGCAAATCTAGAGTAAAACAGCCTCAAATACAGAAACCATTTTGAAGAACACAGTTCCCATTCTCTCCTCCTTGATCGTTTGCTGTTTATCTTTCCGTCAGATTTTTTTTTCTTTAAGTGCTAAATACAATTAACTGGAGCGCTCTCTAATTCTTTTGTGTGACTCTTAAAAAAATAAAAATAAACAGAAGGTCACCATGAGAGCATCTTACCAGCCGTTGCTTTAAAATAGAATTTTTGGAAGCATTGTTGATTTCTACTTATTTTTGTTGGTAAATCCTGGAGAAAAAATGTATATCTTTTCCTTTAAAGTTCTAATTCAAGGCATGGATGTGAGAGTTCTGGAGGGACTTTGGGACTGCGGTAAAATTTCGTTGTCATAGTAACAGAAAGGGAAATAGGCCTAGCTCACCTGGGACTTTAATACTGCAAAAGCCAGATTTTTTTTTTTTTTTTTTAAGCAAAGGACTCTGCAAGTGAGATAAATGAAAAACTTATTGTGGTTTGAAACAAAATCTTTTAATTTTAAACATTAAATAATGTTTTAATTTTAAAACATTAAAATAGGTAAATGGCTGAAAAGGCCACCTCTGCCATTTTTCTGGTTTGATGTAGTTGTCTGATTAAAGATGCCCAGTTTTTAAAATTGCACAAATAGTTTATTTCAGAGACGGCTGGCCTAAAAATATGCCTTATGACGAATGATAACCTCAGACCATGATTCGGTGCCTTTGTATTTTCCTGGATAATGTATAGAAGGTCTGAAAGGACATTCACAACTTGTTATTAGTCATAAAAACTCCAGTGTGTACCTGCAAAGGCTGACCTGCCTTTGGATGGCAATGTACTGTTTTCTGATTTTATATACATTGGTTAAAAAGACCAGGGGCCATTGTGTGTGAGGGTACACGTGTGAGGTGTGTGAGCACGGAGGTGCGTGTGGCCAGTGGAAAGTCACATGCGTGAGAAACCCTGGGATTCTGGGTGAAGTCTTGCTATTATTTACCCTGGAGCAAGACATTTTTACATGGCAGGAGTCACTGCTGCTTTGGAAGCCTGATTTTTGGGAGACAGAGTGCCCTTGCAACTCGGGGGTGGGTATACAAACCAGAGCCCAGCTTGTGACCCGCTTCACAATCCTCAAATCGCAAACATCCAAATTTGCAAATTGCAAAGGGTCAGCGGTGTTCCTTCCCAGGCAGGGCCAGCTGAAATTCCCCAGATGGGAAATACAATCCCTTTCCAATCAAATCTAATATAATGCAGATCTATCTTCTCTTAAAAATGTTTACTCCAAAGTGTAACACATTGCTTTCTCTTCACAGATTCTTTCTAAAATTTTTCCTCAAGTGCAATCAGAATTGTTTGAAAACAGCGGGAAACCCGAGGGACATGAGAAGGTTTCAGGTAAGGGGTCTGCAGTTCTTCCCTGTTATGTGAGTCATCCTGTTTTCTCTCTCTTTAGCACTCTCTTTCTTTTTTCCTTTCTTTTCTTTTTTCCCTTAGAAAACATTATTCACCGACGCTGCTAACAATAAAGATGACTCTAAATGATATCCCTCGTCTGACAGTATTGAGGGCTACTACATTCTGTAGTGTTTAGGCCTCTCGCCTCTGTTGCCAAGGCCCGAGGGGAGGGGCACCAACCCAGGCTGGAGATTTGATTTTCAGCCCGCAGGCTGCCCTTCGCACACACAGCTGCCCACAGCAGGAACCGTGTTCTTGATATTCAGCCACCTTGGGATTTTTCAAAGCAGCTTCTCTGTGCTTTCTGCAAGCAATAGCCTCTTCCCTTCCTTTGCCACCGATTAACTATGCAGTGGTCTCTCTCCGAGTCTCTGGGAAAGCAGCGGCCCAAACAGCCGTGGTTACTTTAAGATCACAGCATGACAACAAGACCCACGGGACAGTGACCCAGCTGCCGGGCAGTTAAATCTGCCACCGGTTTCATCACCCTTGCCACTGATGTACTGAGGATACGAGCTAATAAAAACACAGAGAGAGGCAAAGTGTGTCAGGTTGGAGATGAGAGGAAGTGCAGTCCCCCTTGGCCCCCTTCCTTAATCTTTGAAGGACCCATATTTAATCCGCCAAAAGGCTTTCCTGCCATTCATACACCCCGCCGAAATACAGAGCGCTCCCTTCCCCATAGAAACATGGAAAACATGTTAAACAATAGCATTCAGGCTTGAGACTTAAAAAAAAAAAAAAAAAGTCTGGCAGCCACGGGAGGGATGGGGATGATTAGACTCGTGTTTTGGGTGGGAACAGTGAGGTTCTGGGGGTTTTGTAACTTGCATCGAATTGCAGGAAGGATGCGGTGGAACCAGGAACCGGGAGGGTCTGTCTGGTCAAACCCCTTCCACCAGACCACGAGTTTGCACCGTGGACAGCTGCTAAGTGGATGCCTTGCTGTTGACTTTTTGAAATTCTTCGTAATTTCAGAGCCAGGGGTCACACATATTCACTGGGCACGGGACTGCACAAGTAATGGGGCTGCTCCTGCCAGCCACCCGGAGAGCTTCTGGGGCTTAGGAACAGAGTCCTTCAGGAGTTCATGGGGGAGGTGGGTGCACACAAGGCAAGAAAACTACTTTGCAAAAAAAAAAAAAAATTCTTGTCTTTTTTTTTCCCCCCACACCACATCATGGTCGTCAAACAGTCTTGCTGGCACTGGGACATTTTTGGTTAGTTATTTAACACAATTACCAGCCTCTCTTAAAAAAGTCAAACCCCTCCTCTCCGTCATACAAAGTTTCCCCTGCTGTATGGTGTGAAGACAGGGAGAAATAAAATGAGCTTTCTTAGGGATGACGCAGGATCATTGTGTGAGGTGGAGGCTGATGGTGTTCTGTGTTCCAAATGCAAACGTAAATAACTTCAGTCCAAAAAAGTATGAGATTCAAAAGGATTCCAGAATACCTTGATGGCCAAAGCTTTCACTTCCCAAAGAAACAGAGGTAGGAAGAGGGGTTGGCAGTTCGGATTTCTATCCCCCTATTCTCTACCTTCACTTCCAAAGAGTTTTAAATTTGAGAATGCTCTCATCAATTTCAAGAGGTTTTTAACAGAGTGTCTTGTCATTTTATTTTTCTCAAATTTTGGAAATGTACTCACTAAGCACACGCATGCTCATATTTCCTCTACTTCTTCCGTTATTTACTAAGTGACGATTTCAGTGTGCCTGAGCTTTTAACAGGGTTAGAATAAATATTGCTGATCTCAAAATGATGGGAGGTTCTCATCCAATGTGAAAATATTGACTTCTGCAAAGAAAGTGAAAGATTTTTTTTGGTTTGTGGGTTCTAATTGTCTTATTTTGGGGTAGAGCTAAAATTAATTGGCAATTTGGGGGGTATTTTTTATTGAGATAAAATTCATATAACATATCATTCATCATTTTAACCATTTTAAATTGTGCAACTCAGTGGCTTTTAGTGTATTAACAATGTTGTGCAACCATCACCACTATACAATTCCAGAACATTTTCATCATCCCCAAGTGAAACCCCATACCTCCCAATTCTCTTTTCTCCCCACCCACTGACAATCACAAATCTACTTTCTGTCTCTATGGATTTTTCTGTTGGGGACAGTTCATATAATTGGAATCATACAACATGTAGCTTTTTGTGTCTGATTTCTTTCACTTAGCATCATGTTTTCAGGTTCATCCATGTTGTAGCAGGTGTGAGCACTTCATTCCTTTTTATGGCTGAATAATATTCCATTGTAAAAATGTACCACATTTTGTTTATCTATACATCAGTTGACGGACACTTGGGTTGTTTCTACTTTTAGGCTTTTATAAATAATGCTGCTATGAAGATTTGTGTACAAGTTTTTTGGTGTGTGAACATATGTTTTCAATTCCCTTGAGTATATATCTAAGAGTAAGATTTCTGAGTCATATGTTAGCTCTATCTTTAGCTTTTTGAGGAACTGCCAAACTGTTTTCCACAGTGGCTGCATCATTTTATATTCCCACCAGTAATATACAAAGTTCCAATCTCCCCATATTTTTGCCAACACTTGTTATTTTCTGGTTTTTTTTTTTTTTGTCTTGTGTTTTTGTTTTAAGTTCTAGCCATCCTAAGAGTGTGAAGTGGTATCTCATTGTGGTTTTGATTTGTCTTTCCTTCATGATGTGGAACACTTTTTTCATGTGCTTATAGGCCATTTATTTGTATATCTTCTTTGGAGAAATGTTTATTTGAATCCTTTGTCCACTTTTAAATTGGGTTATGTGTCTTTTTATTGTTGAGTTGTAAGAGTTTTTTTTAATATATTTGGGATACCAGGCACTTCCTTATCAGATAAGTGATTTGCAAATATTTTTTTCCTATTCCGTATCTGTCATCTCACTTTCTTGAGAGTGCCCTTTGATGCACAAAATAATTGATAATTTTTATACTGTGCTCAGATTCTATTAAGAGTATAACCTCCAATGAACACTCTCTACCTGGAGAAGGCTACTATGGAGAAAGCCTTGACTATGTGCTATAATGGTCAAGTGAGAGACTTGGATAAAGTTCAAAATATGAAACCAAACCAGAGATTGTAGGTAATCATGGGAGAGGGGGGAGATCTGAAGGAATGGTAACTTAGGAATTCCTGAAATACATTTCTTATCAGAATGACAAAGGTAATACTTTAAAATCATATAGATAGTTACTTCGTTCCTCCATTTTGTTATTATTAAACATATTTAATCTGAAGCATTATTTTGTAAAGATTTGCTCTGAACAGAATAGAAATATGAAATTTTTCTTACCAAATCATGAATCCAACCATACTTCTTCTTCTCTCCCACCTCTCTTCTTTCCCCTGTCCCCAAAACAGTCGTGGAACTTGGATTCTTTTTCCCAACATGACCAAATGAGAACAATATCATTCCATCAAATTTTTTTTCTAGCCTGAAACAAACCTCTCTTTAATTCAGTTCCGAGTATCTCAGACATATATAAATACATATGTCTATTTATCAAAACACAATAGGTTTTAATCCTTTTTTGGCTCAGATCCTTTTGAGAATTTGGTAAAAGCTATAGATTCTGTTGCCACAAAAAGCTACGTTTAAACCAAGTTTTGCTTAAAATGTCAGGGGTTCCCACATCTCTTAGGGTCCCATGGTCCCCTGACCTAAAGAAATGAAATTCATCTACCAAATGGGCATCCTCCATGTAATTTAACCCTTACAAAGAGGACCTGTCCCCTTGGGAGTTCCTTGATAATCTTCCCACTTTCTTGTAAATGCCATCTGTTCCAGGTGACTCCTGGATCCATATCCTCAGACCTCACCCTTCTCTGGAGCTGCAGAAATCCCACTCTACCTTCTTCCTGGGCGTCTTCCCTTGGCTTACTAATGAGAACATGTTCACAACAGAATTTGATACTTACTCTCTGGATCCGTGCCTTCCTCATGTATTAGTGAAGCATCACTTCCTTCTCCTAAGTATCTGCTAAATCTATCTCTTCTCCTGAACACAACTGCAGTAGGTCCCTGCTTCTACTCCTTCTTTGTCCAGTCCTAAAACTCAGATTTCGAAAGGCATGGCTGATTAGTGTCTTTGTACCAGGCACATCCCCTGATGTTTCCATATACCCACCTCTCACTTGGCACACCTCACTGATTTCTATTATATGGAATATTACTTGAACCTTTCCACTTGTTTGCCCCTCTACCTAAGAACCCTTCGCCCCTCTCCAATTTGTGACTTCTACTCATGCTTCAAGACTATACCTGAATGGCACCTCCTTTGTGAGGCATTTTCTGACTCCCTGACAGACTCCTTGGCTCCTTCTTCTGTGCCATCACTCCATTCTCTACACAGTGCTACTACACTCATTTGTCGTATTCTCCTTATCTCCCCACTGGGAGGTAAGTCCCTCAGGGGCAGCAGATTGTATCTGTATCTGTTTTGCTTGTTGATATGTCTCTAGCACCTAGGATAGTTCTTGGCACACAGACTGTCCTCAGTAATATCTGGTGGATGGATGAATAAATGAATCAATCACATTGTCTTGCAGTTATTGTTCATCTAAGAGACTGTGCTGCTTGAGGGTAACGGATATCTTTTTTTTTTTTAATTTTTGTATTTCTCCCCAATGCCTAGCATAATACCAGCCACTGTGCAGGCTCAATAAATTGTTATTAAATAAATTTTTTAAGAGAGAGAAGGGAAAAGGGGAAGGAAGAAAGGGAAAAAAGAAAAGATTTCTGTGGTCCCCAAGTATCTAAATCCATGGGCCATACATGCAGAAAATAATTTCTGCCCTTCTTGAAATGGAACAATTGGGTGAAACACCCAGATTAACAGCTTAGTGAAGGAAAAGAAAGAAATTTATGTCTAGTTGAAGCTGTTAAGACATAATGAGCCCTATTCTTTATTTCTCTACATTGTGGG